GTTCGAACCCGGGACCTTACCTTACAGTGACGAGCACCATGTCAACGCCTAAACCGTTGCGGCCACCTACGCCCCTTACTCAAAATCCTTGATTGATAGGATTAAAATTAAGGATAACGTTATACATAGGATAATTCGAAATTAAACAACTGTGCCAAGACTTTTTCGAAAATTCATACTCTTATTTATTATTCTTATCTTGCTTTTAATTCACTCAATTTATTGCCACTAAAAATTAACAATTAGATGCTAGTTTTTAAATAAATTTGGTATCAAATGATTAATCTTTATCATTTTGAGGTTTAAGTAAAAAAGTAGGGTGTGCCAATACATACTTTTGACACCGCTGTATCTTAGGAATGGGCTCTAGTAGAAACTATCGATAGCTTTTTTATTTTACCGCAGTTTTTCAAGCTCTCGGATTATGAAGGTACCAGCTAATTCCGCGATATTAGGTACGACACGTAGTCACGCACTCGTGCAAACAAAAGAAATTCATGGTATGGTCTCTTTCTACCTCTTCATCTTACTTACCTTCTATCTTTTTTTCTAAATAAACAAGAGGCAAAGAATTGGTTGGTCTTCGTCTACATTCTTTGAAAATTTGATATAGTGTGTAGTATTTATTGACCGTTAATTAATGATTAGTTAGAGATCGTGAGGTGCGGTCTGGTGTGACGTAGGTTTTAAAAAAACATTTTCTTTATCGTGCCTAACATTTTCGATCATATTCATCTTCTAGGCCTAGGATTTATAAACATTGCTTGAATTATACAAAAAGAGGTAAGATGTGCTTCAAGGAGCACACTTGAACCACATCGGCATTTTCGACTTTCCAGAGGTTTTAAAATAAGTGTAGTTTTTGTTTCTTTCTTTGTTCGTTCTACTTTTTTAAAATTCGAATAAATTGGTTTTTCATTTTTACATAGTCCTATGATGACCCCATCCTGCAAGGTATCAAGTAATAGGTAATTAAATTCAATTACATGAAATTCTTTATTGAATAGGTAGGTAAGTAGGTCGCGTGGGTAATCTACCTATGGAAAATGGGAAGATGCTATCGAAAAACTATCAATAGTATCGATAGTTTTTAACCGATAATATCGGCCTATCGATAGTGCTCAACTATCGACTTTCGATCATCTCAACTGTATAGCTGTATTTAGATATTAACATTATATCAAAAATGGAAGAAGGAAAGTACTTCAGGTCTCTATTAAGAAGATGAACAGAAATTTTTATTTACAAATATTTAAATTAAATGCAGTAAATTTATTATTAATTACATGACATTATTTTTCTATTAGTGGAAAATAGTAGAGTAAAACCCCAACCACTACTAAGTTAAGCTCTGTCCTGAAATACAATCCCATTGACCCAGGTCTTATTTTTTAACCCACCATCTGATGATCTACGTGTTTGAAATTTTGATATGTCGCAAAAGGTCTTATTGCTTTTTTTATATTTTTGTATCCTATAATTAAAAATTAATCTTAACCGTTCAATGTGAGAACGGAAAATTTTATTTACAAATATATATATTAAATACAATCGTCGAGAATTTTTTTTTCTGTGCGAAACTTAGCCCCAGCTGTTTAAGTTATAGCTAAATTATTATTAATTACATAACGTTATTTTCTATTAGGGGAAATATTACAGTAAAACCCCAGCTGAAGACCTCTACTAAGTAGTAAAGCTCTGTCCTTACAGAAAATACAATCCCATTGAACCGAGGTCTTATTTTTTTACCCCTCTCCCTGATGAATATTTTGATATGTTGCAAAAGGTTAATGTTTTTTATATTTATCGATCGAACAATTAAAGATTAAGATTAATCTTTAATCTTAACAGTACAATGTGACAATTTCCTTTTGTTTTTGTCAAAGAAATATAACTATTGTCAATTGTGATAGTACAAGTGTAGTCCTAATAAGTTTTTTTTTTAGAATTTTGTTTATAAGCATTCCCTCTACTTTTTTCTGGGAACTAATAACAAATTAAAACTCATATTTATTTTGATATTTACCCAACAGAGGAAAGAATATGAAAATAAAATATCAAAAGATGAGCTGAATTTCATAATGCACAACAAGATACAAAGTCCATAGGAGGCAGAATTCTAGGCAAAATGTTATAAATTATTAACTTTTAGATGCTGGGGTTAGAGACATAAAAAAATAAATTATTACTGTATTTAGCTTTGAGGAATCCAGGGTGTCATTCGGGCCGCTTAGGCTGAAATCGCGATAGCAGAGCAACTCGTATTTGCCACCAATCCACTCGTATTGCGGTCCTGAGTTCAACCCAGCTGAGCTCATGAGATTTTAAATGATAATACGAAAAAAATATTGTAAAATAGTTTCATCCTCTTCCACGACAATCAAGTTTTAACGTTAAGGCTTACTATGTGACAGGAATTACTACTTTTTTAATGCAAGTATTTTTAACTCATTTAAACTAATATCTTTCGGACCACTACCACCAGTTCGACCTCTACTGTGGAAGAAAATATCAAGGCCTGACGACAGGGAATCGAGAATAATTTCGGAGGAGAAAATTTGATCGTGTTTATCAAGGGAAAGTACATCAACCAATCTAAAGCTTAGGGAGACATTAGAAAATGACTTCTGAGAAATTACCAGGACAATGCCTTCGGCTTAATTATGTCGACTGATGATGTAACAATGGGCCTATTTTGGAGAGGACTACCGGGAAAGAAAGTACGTAGAGAATCGAGATCGATCCATGAGTTCGACGGGAATTTTGGTCTAGACTCGCAGCATTGGTCAGACGTGTTTCGGCATTTTTGATTTACGACAAGTCTACTTCATAGTCGTTTTTTGGAAGATGTTCCGGTCGAGTTTTCTGATCGTAAATCCTTTTTCTTTTTAATCGATACAATTTTGAGTGGTTTAAACCATGCATGTGAACCGACGTGTTTGTATTTAAGTTTTCTAGTATGTTCATTTATCGTCCTTTTTGTAAGGCGTGTAATTCATGCTTGTCTTTATTGTCGATTTTCAGTGCGATGAGTTTGCTTTTCCGTCACTGTCTTATTTGTTGATCTGTCCTTTTTATTTGCCTTCCCATTCATATATTATGGCGTTAGCCACTTTTCAAGTGGGTTGGTTTTTTCTTAAAATAGTAGATATTTAAGATTTTTGAACAGTATGTTAAGATTTTTATCTTAAAATTAGTGTGTGGTGTTTAGTGAGCGTTAGCCAATGATTATTTGAAGATCGTGAGGTGCGGTCTGGTGTGACGTAGGTTTTAGAAAAACATTTTCTTTATTATGCCAACGTTTCGATCTTTATTGAGATAATCTTCAGAGCTCAATAAAGATCGAAACATTGGCACGATAAAGAAAATGTTTTTCTGAAACCTACGTCACACCAGACCGCACCTCACGATCTTAAAATTAGTAGTTTTGCTATTGTGGTTCACGGTCTCCAGTGCTGTTTTAATTTTTAATTGGAATGTTAAGGTCATTATCGATTGTAGAGTGGGTACGTAGAAAGGATCGTTTACTAAGTTTCAGAGGATTTTGGATTTAAAAATGTGAGTATGATTATAGTTGGAATCCCATACCCGATGCTATACGTCCAAACGAGCTTTATTACGTCTTGTGTTACAGCCGTTTGTTGTGAAGTTTTTATATAGACATGAAAGTGTCCAGTTATTTCTTGCTTTTTAGTTTAATATATGGCATCCATTTTAGACTTTTATTAACGTACAACCCGAGTTATTAGCGGACGTGGTTAATTACAGGATGGAATGTAAGATGTAGGCATAGTGGGGGCATTATTCTACGTCTGGTATTAAATGTTATGTGTTGGCTTTTATCGACATTTATTTTTATTAGCCACTTTTTCAGCAATGGTTTTATGTTGATAGGGTGACTGTAGGGAGTGACGCGAGGGAACGGTATCTTTATTTGAAGATAGGGTAGCAGTATTATCTGCAAAAGTGTAGATGATTGTGAGAATACAAGATTGTACCAAGATACTACCTGTACTATTCCAGTATAAGAGGAAACCCGAGTGAACCGAACCATTCAAGCAAATCACCCTAGTCTGTTTCAGATCAAGTTTGGTGGCCTTTAGAAGGGCCGATGCTTGAAGGAGCGGTTGGAGTCTGATGACTGGAGTAGATGAGGTATGATTTTGTAGCCTATGTAGGAAGCGACCGAAGGGCCTCTTGTGGCTGGCAGCCACGTCGACTGTTGAGAGTTCGACGAGTACAAAGGATTAGCTTTAAAGATAACACTGCTGCAGTTAGTGTTTCCGGTTTGCTCCAATAATGAGTGATTCTCTCTGACGATTTCATTGATAAATCTGCTCTAAGTAGGTTGAGCTCCTGCTTAAAGTGAGGGGTGCTGCAAAGCTCATTGGCTGCTGCAATTCGATATTAAAAAGGGTTAATATGACGGTAAAAGCGATGTCGGGGCATTGGACAGGTGTTTAATTCTTAATTTGTTTGTAGGTTTGCTAAGTTGGATTTTTCTTATCCTATGCATGTGCATGTAGTCAGTCCATTTAGTGTTTATTTTTATAATCTGTTTTTGTTTATTGATTTACGTTTGTGTTGTACCTTAATTCATAGTGTTAAAAGGGCGTTTTTTAAAGAAATTTTGAATTACACTGATTTTGTCCAAAAAGTTTTACGTGATATTACTGTTAATTTTTTGACGTCCTTAACCAAATCCAGCAGATTTCAGTGATTTTGTCGCATTTGTAATTAATCTGCCCGTTTGTAATATGTTTGTGGTTTACGCATTCCACACTGGATGGAATGCCAGGGAGAATGTGGTTGTAATTAATGGATAACGCCGAGGATGGAGATTAAGGATGAGCCGGATCCGACCGCGCCACCCTCGTCTAGTTTCCAGGGCTACCAAAACAAATTCCTTTTAGTTTACCTCTGTCCCTCCGCCAACCGATATATGCGCTTCATAGCCACTGACGGTTTTGAATGTTCCCGGACAACCAGATTCAACGCTCTCGAAAAAATTTATGTTGTTTTATTTATCATTTTTGTTCTTATTGAAGTCTATGTAATAATTGAAGTCGTTTTCTTGAAACAGAACCAGCTTCTGGAGCGAGTGCTTGTAGCCAAACGACACGGCGGGAGCTCGAGGGCAGACGCTGTTGAGGTCTGGGTTGTAGTGGTTGGGCGCAGGGCCGGGCATTATGAATTTGCCGTTCTGCACGTTCAACTTCAACTTCTTTTTAGACTTCAATCTGCTGGAAGTACTCCCTCTGAAAAGATACGACATTTGTTGGATCATATGTCATAATTGATATCTGGTACGGCTGTCTGTCCGTTAATACACATGCCGCCAGTTAAAGTCTCGTAATTACGTGTTTCCCATTGTTAAGAAAAACCAACCGGCAGATAATTTTTTTCCATAGGATGTTTTTATACGGATAAGTACATTTTACCTCGATTTTTAAGCTTTAACGTTTGCGAACTGGTACATTTATTAATTGACGTACAGCGGTGATAGCAGAACGTAACTGGGACGAAAAACATCTATATTTACGATGGTAATATTTCAAGGCAAAGCTTGCCTTCTCTTCTCTTCAGCCAGTCTAAGTTTTCAGGAGTACTTGAAATAGATTTTTTAGAGAAATCCTGTCCTGTTCACGTTAAGTTAGGTTCCAGGGCTATTGACTACTGCTGGGTTGTAGGGCTGGGTGATAGTAGACATGGATCGGACCATTGGGTAAAGGCTTTGATTTTGAAATATACTATAAATACAGATGTTTCCAGTTACGTTCTACAATTTTCGCTGGAGGATGATCGAACTTGTAGTCAGAGTGTATTCGTACCGTTTTGGATTGTTGGAGCGTTCTTTTTGTATAAACCAAAATAACGCTAATACTTACATAGTGCCTTTACGCTTGGAGCTGACTGTAGAATGGGAGCTCTGTTTGGGCATTTTGGACTTCACTGCACAATAAGATCCTAGAAAAAAATATAAAATATTGGTGAAATTCAGAATTGAAAAGGATGGAAAAGAAAATGTTACCTTAAAGACTGCGATCACTTTAAAACTCAAAAGCACGGGGACGTTCAATTTCCAAATTCCCCCAATTTCACCTACAACATACAATAAATAAAAACATGCTAAGTTTTATTCAAAATAAAACTTTTTTTCCATATGGGTTAAATTTCCACAATACATAAAAATGAAAACATTTGTTTTTTCAAATTCTCCCTTAACGGCACGATTATTTCGGTGTTTCAAATTTGACAATGCCGCAGAGCGAATTTTCTCAAACGGCGTCATCAATTCATCACTCGGATATCAACTCATACCGGGTTGGCACCCAACGTTCCGGACTGCAAAGCGACAACTCCCCAGCAAATGGCGGAATCGACGAATTTGGCTGCGTAAATCAGAGTAAGTCGGCAGTCACCGGTAGGCCTTTGAATGGTTTTAACCCGTTGATTGCAGGTCCTGGGCCTTACACCCTACCGTCGCTCATCGGCTACAAAAATCACGACATCACCAAGTGCAGGGCCCCGGCGTACACGATAGCCGTGAAAAGGCCGATGCCGATGCCAGACAACGCCACCCCGGCCCCTATCTACGAGACTTTCGGTCTCACCAAGTACGGAAAAGCAAATCCCCCCAAAGCCACGATCAGATCCCGCCCGCCCGCCTTCAGTGTTTACGGTAAGTTGTAAAATACGAACCAGGCTTTTTGAGTAAATCTTCGTCGGCGAATCAGACCACTAGCTACCACGGAAGAACGCTGCAGAACCCTCCAAGACACTCCATCCTCAACCTATAGTGTTATGCTCTCGCATAGTTGGTAATATTTTTGGGTCTAACAATGAAATGTTAGTGTTTTGTAAACGTATCTCTCATTCCAAACCTACACTAAAAAATCAAACCTTGCAATTATATCATCTGTGTGGTTTCCATAGTATTTTATTCTGAAAAATCCGATCGATAAAAGGAAAAATTATAGTACAGACGTGCGTTTCATACTTTAGTAATTCAACTTGCCACATGATACAAAGTTCTCCAGCATATTACTCCCTCGGGTATCTGATGATGAATGGTAGGAATCGGGTTTTCTCTCCAAGCAATTCAGCCTTGTGGCTTATTGAATTTTTTCTTTAGTTCAGGTCTTTTCGATCCTCTTAACCATCAATTTGATTTCTGGTCCGTCCATTCTACAGCAGGGCTTTAGATTAGTCGATGCGGTATCCTCTTTCAGAAAATACATAAAAACGAACGTCAGACCTCCCCACACTAGCCAACCATGTCCGATACCTTTATAATCGCCGTTGATCATAATGGAATGTTAGGAAGAGGGCGGTTTGTATTCACCAAACTCTGCAGCTTTGTCTTGTTTCACTTTTCCTAGTTCCTCACACCCGCAATCTCGTCCTGAAGTTATTCCTCCCGGATCGCTTGTTTATAGTGAGAATCGGTTCTAATTTTGCACTTATCATGCCAATCAAACTTACGTTCCGCATGGAATTATCCTGGACTAACCAACAAATCGCAGTCGACACCGCGATCCTACCCAAATATTCTGACCTTCCTAACCTAACTCTAGCAATAGAATCAATCATGGAACACCTACATACTGACTGTGTGCTCAGTGGCGGATCAAGGTAAACGAGCAAAACTCCAACGTCTGACCTGCTCACTAGTGCACATAATTAAAAAGGTAATCCTTCTATCCAACTAACTCCGGTACTGTAAAAATAACGCTAGGAAGCGGGGGTTTTATATTCACCAGCCCTTGAGGCCTTCTGGCTTTTTGTACTTTTCCTAGCTCCCTTAATTCACTTCAATAGAATCGATAACCTCTTAAGTATTAGGTCATTGGCTGACATTGCTCCAATTCTTTTTCCAGGGTCTCTCGGTACGCTAGGCTATATTTCTGGATGGTAATAATAATAATAATTAATAATAATATGAAAGCAATAATAATAAAACTTGTAAATATGTATATGTAAATACAAATTAACCAGTCTCAAACCTAACCAAATCTAAACTGTACCTAACACTAAGCCTAAACCTAACCTAACCTCCCCTAACCTATCTGATCTAACTCTTAAATAACCCTACCTTTCCCTAACCCAACCCTAACTATCGCAAGTAATAACAGTAACATCTAATAACAATTTAATTATTTTATTTTCATCTTTTGCTGTTACGAGCTCCACATATTGTAGTTCCTTGTAGGTGTTCATATTTGAAAAATAGATGGGCCTTTCTTAGAACATTTTCATTTTTCAATTATGAGGTAAATACATATTGACCATAACGGATGTCAATTTTAAATGCAAAGAACTCATGTTGTTTCATCATTGCGGCTTCTTTTCGCATGGTTGGTGCACGGTGCATGGTGCAACATTCGTTTGATACGTTCCCAGTTGACCTTCGTCAAATCCTTTGACCAGAATAAAACAAAAAGCGTACTTGGCGAATACAGGAAGTTCGATAATGATCTGACAATTAATATGAGTTCACCCCTCTGTTATGTTCGGTAATGCTTGTCTTAAAATACACCTTCATTAGCTGATTTGGGTCCCGGGCCTGGCTACTACTCGCCCGAAAAGCACCTGAACGCCATCCTCCCTCGTGCGCCCGCCGCGACGATACGGAGTGCCAAGAAGACGAGTCTGTTCGACGAGTCGCCAGGGCCGACTTTCGACCCCGAGAGGGTTCTGGGCCCGAGGCTTCCCCTGAGGCAGTCCGCCCCCACGGCCACGGTGTAAGCAATCGGGTCGTCGCGGGGGCTGCGCGGCTCTCTCAAGCCCGACTTTGTTTCAGGAAAGGGAGACCTCCGGACTTCAGGGTTTACAGCGATTCCGGCCCCGCACCGGGCCATTACAACGCGGTGCCGATCCATAAAATCATGGCCAGGGCGCCCTCGGCCACCATCGGCGGCAAGTGGCCCGGAAAATCCGTCTACGAGACAGAGCAAAGCCCGGCTCCCAATGTTTACAATCCGAAGGTGGACAACTTCGGCCCCCGGCCGCCGAAGGCCTTTATGGGGATCAAGCATTCCAATTGCAAAGCGCTGGTCAAAATACCCGAGGATACTTATTCGTTAGTCGAATTCTGAAGAAATAAACAAAATTCCCAAAACAAGAATGTCTATTTTCATTGAACTATGACAATAAAACAGTACTCGTTATGTCCCATCATTCATAATTTGGACATAACGGTTTCTGCATCAATTGCAACACATTTTTAAAAATTCCAATAATTAGTTTTATTAATTGCTTTCTATGCAAAACATATATTTATTAATATGATGGTAATAAAACAATATAAATAAAGATGTGGCAAAAACCTGTCAGACCACGGAGATGGGGAGAGGTAGTCGACCATTGCTGTAATTCTTAGTTATTAGGACAGTGGTTGGTTTAGGGTTGTGTTGGATGTCAGGCCACTGTCTTCATAGAAGGTTCGTTAGGGTATGACATTGAAGAGAGGGATATTTTGCTCGTGGATCGGTGTGAGGAGAGCTTAGAGTGGACGTTGTGGAGTCATTTTTGTAAATGGTTTTGTTAGTGACGTCGTAGGAAACGCTGTTTTGATTGCAAGGATTGGATTTGAATTTTGTATGGCCCCATTGCTCGATTCCATAAGCCTAAATCGGTCTAATTTGCGCCTTGTATGTTGTTAATTTAAGTTTGAGTTGTCCGTATCTTCGGTTGAGGTCTTGTCTTTTTGGTTAATGTGCCGGATCCACGTATGTTTGGTGTCTAAGTAGAACTCATGATTGCGGATTTGGTTGGATCCGTTGTTGGATACACTGTGCAGTGGTGGACTGGTTCGTCTTCTGATAGTGAACGTCACACTATTTTGTTCGTGTAGCTTAATGCGCTACCGAGTACACCAGAGTGTGTAAAACTAGGCGTTTTGGACTTCTGCTAGGGTTAGAGAGGGAGGAGAGAATTGTAGTATTGTCCGTGAAGGTTTTTGGATGTTAGGGTGTATAAGAATATCATGGTGTAAACTGTTAGACGACTAGTCTATCCGCAACTCAAGGCAAACCCTCAAAAATACATAGTTTTCACTCTTAATCGCAAAACTCTTCTACTTGTCTATTGATACGGCAACCAAATTCTTCCTGCGGATAGTATACGATATCTTGGACTACAAGGGCAAAAGACGTGAAAAACACATACACGTAATCTCAAATGTAAAATGCCGAAAAGACTATTTGGCCTAAGATCAAATTACGTAACAAAAAACTATTATACATTGCCCTCATCGCCTCGATTTGGACTTAATTTTCCAAACATTCCAACTTAACAAATCCAATATCTCCAATGATCATGCTCTCTGATCTAAAACTTAAGTCCCAATACTGCCCCAGTTCCGCTACAATAGAATTCGTAACCTATCCAGCTGAATTCTTCCTTCCAACCCTTGCAGGAGAGACAGGCCAGGTGGCTGCTCGACCATCTGATGGTGTAACACGGCACCCTTGAGTTTTGCTTTGACTTCACACTACAATGGCCCATTACCACTTCCCGTAGATGGTTTACGTTCAAATCAATTACCCCAGACATGTTCATGTGCATACAATATTGTACGTACAGTCATGTAAATACCAGAATTTTTGCTTGTTGCGTTTTGTAAATGTTAGTAAATTATTAATCCTTATAAAACTAAAATTTTAGATAAAAAGTATAATTAACTGAATTAATAAAACATTTCATTTCTTATCATTTCGGGTTATTGTGAATCCCTATTCTTTTGAATGCATGTATGTTTGTCAGTTTCTTTCCTTTTATAAAAATTCGATCGTCCTTCATAACTGTAATAAAATTAATTAGAGTTGGATGGTTGTACCATGGAAATTTATTAAAAACAAAAAAATACTTTATTCTGGGACTAGTATCTCCCAAGAATTACAAATAACGTCACAGGCATCTAGACAAATCTAGCACATTAATTAATAAACGTTTGTAGATAAAATATAGTGGAATGCGTTGAAATAAACCACCTAACACAAAATATAAATACTGGAAATATAGTAACAATAGTAAGAATTAAGAAAAAATAATTCCCAGTCTTCCCAGTCGCAAAATGTGAAATTAAAGTTGAAAAAAAAAAGATTTATTATTTAGCAAAAGGACCTAGTAATATTGTTGAACTAAATAATCTTTGTTTGGAAGTAGATGAGGTGGAGGTACATGAGGGATTTAAAAGAGATAAGGGAGGCGGCTTTTCGGATTGGCAAAGGAAGAGATTCGTGGATCAAATGTGAAGGTTTTATAATCAGGGAGATATAGGTCTTTGGGCAACGATCGGGTGTTAAGAGAATGGACAAAATATTTGAATTGGAGTGCCTGAAAAATTAAATGTAGTGAGGTCGAGGAAAGTTTATGGATTGCTAAAGGTAGGAGCCTAGGAAATACTACGGAAGGAGGGATAAAACCAGGAGAGGTCTGAATTTCAGTGTGAGATTCTTCGGGGAGTGCTGAAAATAAATAAAACTAATATTTATAATTCATCTGTCTTGTTATCTTGTTTCCGAAAATCCACCATATGCGACGCACTATATTTGAACAAGGGAAATATGAGTTCAAAAGTTGCGAAAGTGAGAAGGAGCCAGGACAGGCGGAATTGAATGAGGGATGGTATGCAATATAATGTCGGAAAATTTGGGAAATGTGTGGTTTCCTGGCAAGGTTTTGGTCGAAAGTAACACCGAGGTTTGTTTGTACAGTGGAGCAGAAGGAAATAGGCAGGTTGTTGATGATGAAAGTAGGGATGGGGAATGGTTTAAGGAGGTGACTGGTATTCTATAACAATGGATTTGGACTTCTTAGGATTTAATTCTAGGTTGTTTTTCTGGGCCCGTTCGTTTACGGAATCCGGAAATTTACGAACCTACCTTAATCTGTTAGATATTAACTTAATTTTGGAAGCCTTTTCACACAAACGACTTCTATGAATACTCATGTTAAACAAATTTGTGTTTAAATGTTAGCTTTCGCTTAGTCAAATACTAGTTTGCGTGATAAACAACGTTTCCGTTGAAAAGGCTGTTGATATGTTGTGCAATAAGTAAAAAATTCTTTAACAGTACTAGAGACAATTGTTTAAAATACCATTTAGTGAGGTCAAATTCTGATGATGACGTCGGATGTCAAATCTTTCGTCAAGAAACCTTGTTTAATGATCAGACGGTATATAGATATAGACAGAGAGATTAGAGAACAATGTTGTCAGTGTTGTGATGAAAGTGGTATCCATACCGAAAGGGGTAAAACGCGCCTCGAATTTGGCAAAAACAATACGGCCGATATGACTAACCTTCTTTGTCCAAATGGCAATGGAGAAAATCGTAGATAAAGAAATTGAGAATAGTGTTGCATCCATTAGCATGCCTATATGTCTCTCTAACGGTCGCTGCCACCTTAATTACCATCTAAAGAAGATGGGCATAGCAAATACAGAAGCACGTAGACTCTGTGAGGAGAAACCAGAGGCATCGGCACATATCCTTTGTGAATGTAAAGCACTGCATGCCAAGAAAAGTGTGCCAAGGAAGATTTGTGGGAAAAAGCTCACTTTTCATGGGAATCCTTATTAACCCCCTCCCTGAAATTTAGTCGTTACTTTTGATTTGGATTGTGTATAGCATTTCGCCATCTTCAGTGTGTCTATATTTCAGACAGACCAACCCAGCGAAGATTCCGCTAACCGACATGCACAGAGTACATATGAATTTTTTTAGTTTAATTTATCAAACATGTTTAAAAGAGAAAAGGCATTTTGTTTTCATTTTGACCTGACCCTCACTGGAAAGGGATCAAACCAACGCCTCTTTGATATTAAATTCGAAGAACAGCGCGGGTTCGCCCTTTATTGCGAGTACAACCCCCGTTTCTTTTAGCCCCACCCACATTTTAGCCCTTTCATACACACAACAATCAACCCTTTGATCCGGTCGTTTCGGTCCGCCCTTCCGGGAACTGCCGAGAGGGCCCGGCGGGTCTCAAATGTACATTTCTTTAATTATGAGCACGTTGGTACCAAATCGCCCTTTGAGTTGAAATTAATACTTTTCACCGGGTTAAAACAATAAAAGAAATTTCTCAGTTTTAGTTTTAACAAAGTGGTCTGAAATGACAGTAAACCTTTTCGGCTTTAATGAAATTATATTACATATATCAAAGTGAACAGTTCTGAAGTTTGAGTAGACCTCTCCCTCGTAATTTACGGAACACTAAAGTCCGGAAAAGGCAACAGTGAGGCATAATTGTACGAACTTTCTTTTCCTTTTTTTATTTTTCTTTTTTAACTTCTTTTCCTGCGTAATTACTGGGATGAGAGTCTACGGATAATCAAGTTACAATTTTGAATTGATCCAATTAAGAAAAAATGCATAAAAACATTATTTTTAATAATAAATACTTAATTGTGAAATTTATATACATAAGTACATGATATTATTCCGACATCGAAGAAAGCGAACATTAATCAAGCCACCAGTTTGGATTTACAGCCAATCATTAAACTATATATCAGGTACAAAGAATGACTGATATAAAGCTCTGAAAGATGAAAATATATGTTCAATTTTATTCCTAGAAGTACCGCAAGTCTTTAAAACATAAGCTAAAAACAATATTCCGGAGAGGGTCTTCCCTTGGTTTCTTGCTACTGTGGCCAAGACAAGATAAGGATTTTCAAAGAAGCATATGAGCAATCAGATTCATTAGGGAACTACACCTCGGTCTTTCAAGCTGAAATACACGCCATCAAACGCTTGTGCTTTAGAAATTTTAAAAGAGGTTACACTGACAAAAAATTCCACGTATGCTCGGAAGGCCTAGCAGCTATTAAACCATCAGCATGTAAAATATATCAAAAGTAACCACTGCATGCATCCAAAATGTACAAAACCTGTGGAAACACAACCTGATGATATCTTGGGTACCAGGAGACAAAGGAATTTTGGGTAAAGAAAAGGCAGACAGATTATCCAGAGGAGGGTACACAATAATAAGCCCTGAACGTATTCTTTGGCTAACATAAACAAACGTAGAATCCTCTTTTGCAGAATGGAACCGAAAAAGAAGGATGTGTGGATAAACTCAAAAGGTTGTTATGCTAAAAGAACCCAC